GCGGCATTTTAGAAGACTGGTCCCCGTGACCCCTTCATCTGTGTGAAGATGACACACACAGGTATCTGTCCCATGTTCAATGCCTATAAGCTACCATGACAACATGTTGATATTTGACAATAATTTCATAGTGATATACATACATCTTGACACTGACATCAATTCTTTCAGACCAGGATTTTCTTTACATCATAAGAAGTCCTATCTTACTCATATTCCTATCTTGCTCTCACCAAAATGTGATCACAATCCTATTACAAAAATCATATTTGTTTTTAAATTTCCTTTAACCTCATTAATCTGGCAAATAACATTATGGCAGTGAATGCAATGTTAAAATTTTATGTTAAAATACCTCTGAATTTAGGAAAATAAGAGTTTTAAAAAAATCCCAATTTTGAACAAAATAACAAATTTTCCGAATTTGCCAGGCAAGGGCACTTAGCTTGGAATCCTAGGTAAATCTCTTCAGACTGTCTATTGATCACTACTTCACCAACGACTACAGTTAACTACAAGAAAACAAGTAAACACCTTTTTCATGTTAAATTGTTTCATAGGCATTTCGTGACAGAGGACAAAGTAGACACAATTTATATATAACAACTTCTTTATTTTATATACTGTAATGGTCCTAATACCGTTGTCAAGCAAGTAATTTCATGTTAGTTGGTTCATAACGGAGGACTACAAGCTTATTGTCAACACAATGCTCAGACCAGGCCGAAGTTACATAATTTGATTTATAATAAATGCTTATAACTTTTGTCATTTCCTTCAAAAAGAAATATCTGAGGAGCTGACAGAGTGTAGCTACTTCAGAGAGCTTGTTAATCACCAACCTACAATTAATGACATCAACACCCAGAGTGTACATGTGTCACCTGCCAGTCAAAGGGACATAACTCCTGTCTTGCCATCACAGGTGTGAGTATATGACAGATTGATTAATGAAGAACCCACTCACATCAAGGGTTCAAATCCATTTCCATGTCAAACAGGACAGCAGATTTAATCACCAATATATCAAATAGTTACTAACAAATTTTAAAATCATATTAGCAGCGATAGAAACAAACAGTTTTTGTCCAATTGTCCTTAAAATGATAACATATAGCAAAACCCTTAAAAAGGGCACATTTCTATTTGTCCTTAGGATACCTTAACTATTGGACGCTTTGGCAAGGACTATAGGACAAGTGCCAATTTCTGTATTAGTTGATATGAAGTGTTAATTATATATTATATTTACCATTATTTGTTAGATTAAAGTGATTTGATTTGAATTGATTTGATTTGTTTTTGTTTAATGCCGCACTCAGCAATATTCAAGTTATATGACAGCGTTCTGTAAGTAATCAAGTCCGGACCAGACAATCCAGTGATTAGCATCATGAGCTTTGATCTACATAATTGGGATATGATGACATCAACCAAGTCAGTGATCCTAACACCCGATCCCGTTAGTCGCCTCTTAAACAAATGAAGACTTAATCTTGTATTCTATTTACTTCAATACAGGTGTATTTCACTTGAAAAGGTGAAACAATCTATGCATAGATCAAATGAATAAATGATGCATAAAAAAGGACCCAAAACAAGAAAACACTAAAAAACATTCACGTTAAAAACAAAAGAAATGTAAGTGCAAAGCAGTTTCAAGCAGTACTTAATCACTGGCTACAGAACGGCAGATTAAAAACAAGGCAAATGTTCAGCATGGCCGTAACGCTTTCCATCACCAAGAGAATCAAGTACAGAAAGACAAAGAAAAACAAGAAATGTTTGAAACACATCCTACAAAGGCGTCAATGCATAAACCATCTCACGACCTCGGCACGGGAAAATTATACGCAAGCTACGACCATGAGACAAAGTATATTCATCAGTGGCAAATTGGGGCTTCTGTCCTTCCATTATTAAGACATACATCTTTGATGAAAGAAAAAGCAGGGCTTGACTCTCTTAGCTGATATCTGTCATTTTGTCACCAAGATATACTCGTACCTTGCACAAACACATTACAGAGGCGAAAAAGAAACTATTTTTCTTTTCAAATTCTTCTGGAAATTGTACTTCTATCATGCTGCAATTTCTTTTGGAACCTAAGTGTTCATTGCTGTGACAAACAATATTCTAACCCAAAATAACATACCCCAATTCATTGACATGGTTAAATTCCACTTTAAACAATATTCAGTAATATTACAGTGTCGGCGTGATGTGGGAGACAAGTGCTAAGTGATGCAGGTCTCACACATTTACCACTGAAGTGAATCCACATGCTGGTGCTGACAAAACTAGAAGAAGGATCAGGGCGATTCTCGGATTCAAACACATGGCACGCCTAAAGGACAAAACTCTGCACAGCAAATTATGGTGCTTTAGACAACTGGGCTATCCGTGCCCCCTCTTTGCCATGTGACACAGACTTGGGTGTGCCCGCACACACTTTCCCAAGCTCCACACAGTGTACCCCTCTTTATAAACAAGCCCTTGTGTGCACACACACTTTCCCAAGCTCCACACAGTGTCCCTCTCTGTATAAATAAGCCCTTGTGTGCACACACACTTTCCCAAGCTCCACACAGTGTGCCTCTCTGTATAAACAAACCCTTGTGTGCACACACACTTTCCCAAGCTCCACACAGTGTGCCTCTCTGTATAAACAAACCCTTGTGTGTACACACACTTTCCCAAGCTCCACACAGTGTCCCTCTCTGTATAAACAAACCCTTGTGTGTACACACACTTTCCCAAGCTCCACACAGTGTGCCTCTCTGTATAAACAAACCCTTGTGTGCACACACACTTTCCCAAGCTCCACACAGTGTGCCTCTCTGTATAAACAAGCCCTTGTGTGTACACACACTTTCCCAAGCTCCACACAGTGTCCCTCTCTGTATAAACAAGCCCTTGTGTGCACACACACTTTCCCAAGCTCCACACAGTGTGCCTCTCTGTATAAACAAACCCTTGTGTGCACACACACTTTCCCAAGCTCCACACAGTGTGCCTCTCTGTATAAACAAGCCCTTGTGTGCACACACACTTTCCCAAGCTCCACACAGTGTGCCTCTCTGTATAAACAAGCCCTTGTGTGCACACACACTTTCCCAAGCTCCACACAGTGTGCCTCTCTGTATAAACAAGCCCTTGTGTGCACACACACTTTCCCAAGCTCCACACAGTGTGCCTCTCTGTATAAACAAGCCCTTGTGTGTACACACACTTTCCCAAACTCCACACAGTGTGCCTCTCTGTATAAACAAACCCTTCTCTAGTTCTCTGTGTGCTAAGTATTTCTGATAAATATTCCTGAACACTTTCATCATATCAACAAATGAATGAAATAAACGATATGGATGTGATGTCACTTGGTACTAATTCAATATGTTGTCACTGATGGAATTATCAAGATGCAGGAATGACCAAATGCGCAACCGACCCGTGAAGATGTAGAATAGAATAGGTCTTCAGCAACCCATGCTTGCCGTAAAAGGCGACTATACCCGGGATCGGGTTGTCAGACTCGCTGACTTGGTTGATGCTTGTCATCATATTCCACTTGTGTGGATTGATGCTCATGATGTCAATCACTGGATTGTCTGGTCCAGACTCGATTATTTACAGACCGCCGTCACATAGCTGGAATATTGCTGAGTGCAGCGTTAAACAAAAAACAAAAAACAAATAAACAAATGCGCAACAAAAGTGGAACCATACAGACAAGTACCGCCACATGAAAACTGATCATCAATGCATACGAATGTTCGTGGACAAACAGAGTTCTGATGACCTCGACCTTGATCGTGGACACAGACGGTACTACCTACAACGTCTCAGTCTCACAGATGGTACTGCCGACAATGTCTAGACTACGACTGAGTCAAGACCATGGGACTTTTTCCCTCTTCAAAGATGGCTGTGCCATCAATCTGTCAATAAATGTCAAATGACAAAACCATTTCTGTTCATAAAACACATTCTACTCAGGGGCTTTTCTAAACCTGTTCAGAGGTCGACATTAGGCTGTAGCAAATGACATTAAATTCCGAAATTGGTATAAAAAATGTCCCAATTCATGTTAATATACAAAACTAATTTTAGGGCTTCGTACGGGTAAACCGTATCTCACTGATAACAGGAGATAACATTGCTTAGTTTAATACGATTGCATTGAATTCTATCTCAAAATAAAATAACTATGAATTTACGAAGTTTATTAAAATCCCAATTTTGAACAAACTATTTTTTTCTCACCAATTTCCCTTCCGGTGGCAGTTAGTTTTGAATCATGGGTAAATCCCTGCTACTACCTACGATATGTCTACCCACGATGTCTACCCACGATGTCTACCTACGATGTCCATCTACAATGTCCAGATACGATGTCTAGCTAACAGACAACAGAGCACAGTCCTTCTTCAAAGAAGTTTAGTCAGTGTCACTAAAAACCTCTGAGAGTCCTTGGAAGGCAAATTGGAAAAACATGTGATGCTTTTCAATGCTTATATTTTAGAGGTATTTTAACACTAATATAACATTGTATTCAATGTGATAATGTAAAATTAAGTTTAAAACTGTTTCTTCTTCATTGGTCCTGTTATCAGTGAAACACATGACACCTCAACCCACCCATCACATAAGTAAAAACTATATTAAAATGAATTGGGAAAGTTTTTATTTCCATTTAGGATTAATTGTGAACATTTGCTGAAACCGTTAGACCAGATATATACTCACTGCAAAAAGAAACGCAACTGCCATACATCGTGGTTATATATGAAGACATACTCATATTCAAGATGCAAAAACGAACATACTGGTTCCCATAAGGGGAATTGAACCAGTGTGTTCTAGCATGACAAAACCATGCTTTAACCACGAGGCTACCTCACAGACCACTCTACAATGAGTCAGGAGATATCGGGCCTACAAAAAGTGCTCGATTTCCGTGTGATCCTGGCAATAACGTTGTGTGAGAATGTTGTTCTTACCCTGCTCCGCACACTGAAGACATGGCAGTAGTGCTTCTGGGTCTCGCGGTCCTTCGTGATGTATGCAAAGAAGTTCAGATGCTCTGAGTCCTGACATGCGCAGAAGATGTTGGCGATTTCATGATCACAGATAACTTTCTGCAAAAACATCATCAGGAAAAGTGTTAGGTAAGTACGAGTATAAAGATAAAAGTGGTGTATTTCTGACTGATCTTACAGTGTGAGTGAGTGAGTTGGGTTTAACGCTGCTTTTAACAGTATTCCAGTTATATCACGGCATGTCAGCTTAATGTGGGAGGAAAGCCTGAAGTGATGCAGGTCTCAGACCTTTACCACTTTGGTGAAACCCACGAGCACAGGTATGGTGCTGACAAACCTAGAAACATGATTGGGGCGAACCTGGATTTCTAACCCAGTGCAACAGTGTAACTGAAGCAGACTGATAGTTGTGAAGATTATTATTTTCAGATAAATATATTTTTGAACACTGATTACAAATAAGTATGAATCTTCACAACATTTTGAGAGTATACATGCAACGAGACTAAGACGAGCAAACACTTTAACCACTGGGCTACCCGACCGCCTCTCATCCTGGATGATGTTGGCAAGGAATGACATACTAACCTTGGATTTGGCATCAATGAACTTGACACCACGGTACGATATGGAAAGCATTATAGTTGGAATTTTGGCAATGACATCAGTGGATTTCTGGAAGAAAAATAAATGAATATAACAGCAGTGTAATCTACATTCAACTTCCTGAAAAGGGAATTATGAACATTGACGTGGCAAGCCACATTGCTGAGAGCTGGCAGTGGTAGAAACGAACATTTTTAGTCCACTAATGACAATACATGTACCAAACCCTTAAAAATGGTACATTTCTACTAGTCCTCATGATACCGTAACTATTTAAGGATAAGTCATATGGATGAACAATTTCTTTATCAAAATTAGGAGTGATGTTTCGGTGTAGGTTCTAACACTGTTATCAAGCAAGTGACGGTGTTATGGTGTTAGAACCTACACCGAAACATCGCTCCTAACTGTAAAAAAGGATCTGTTCATCCGTATATCTTATCCTTACTAAGTACTCCAACTTCTAAATGCCTCTCAAAGAAGTTACCTTAACTATTGGTCAGTTTGGCAAGGACTACAGGACTAGTGCCAACTTCTAACGCTGGTTGGGACGAGGCATGATGTAACAAATCGATGTGTATCATACAGAAAGATGGACCCAAACTGAGGATGACAGTTTAATGAGTGAGTGAATGAGTGAATGAGTGAATGAGTGAGCTGGGTTTAACGCCGCTCTTAACAGTATTCCAGTTATATCACGGCGTGCCAGCTTAATGTGGAAGGAAAGCCTGAAGTGATGCAGGTCTTAGACGTTTACCACTTCGGTGAAACCCACGAGCACGGGTATGGTGCTGACAAACCTAGAAACATAATCGGGGCGAACCGGGATTCCAACCAACGATCATAGGTTTCTGGCGTGCCCAAAGGACGCAACTCTGCACAGCGAATCGCGGCGCCTTAGACGACTGGGCCTCTAGTTCCCCGACAGTTCAATGAAAACAAAAACAGTTATGGTCCTGTCAACAAACAATGAAAACCTGGAAACTGCTGTCATGCAGTGAAAGTGAGCATAGCCACAACACTGGCCACACTATCAATCATAGAGTAATCAGAACATCATATCCATATGACGACCTCACACTTGATAGCCATGTTAAAATTTGATGTATAGTGATGCATCAATGTATGGGTGAATCATCCCGCCCCAAGATGTCAGTGTTGGGTAATCTCATTAATATCCGATCTTGAACTCCGATACAATACCTCTCTCCGTTCAGAACTCTTACCAACCTTTGCCCATCCAATCTAAATGGAGGCTGCATGGGTCTTCAGCCAATCAGATGTCAGCTTTCAAAACAGTTCGGCCTAATTAGTTTGGAAATGTCGAGAACACATACATACCCCCAATAACCCTTTTGGATCAGCATTACAAATTGGCACTAGTCCTGTAGCCCTTGCCAAACTGCCCAATAGTTAAGGTATCATAAGGACAAGTAGAAATTTGCCATTTCAAGGGGTTTGTTTAATTATGTTATCATTATGAGGATTGGGGGCTAAAAATGTTAGTTTCTACTGCTGTAGATGCCTTGATTCTGAGAAAGGACAGGGTGTACACAATGTTGACAACAAACAGTGAGGTCTCAATTATATTCCATTTGGAACTGCCCTTCATGTTTGTTTTTTAGATACAGAAATTAGATGTATTCTTAGATCACCAGTACCAGAGTATATTAGCCGTGACTCACAATGGAGGACGTCTGCTCCGATTGTCACACAGAGAGGTATCGTGTTAGAGTAACAGATTGGATATTAATGTGATTGGAAGACTGGCACTTTTCAACATAACTGCAGGATTCTCCAATATGAAATATATTCCGCATAGTCATTCAGAGAACAATTTGTAGAATATTGAAATTATCAAATTTCTGAGTAGCTTCACACTAATAAGAGCTGCACAAGAAATGTGTCAGTTACACTGCTCTTAGAAATAATCCACCCACATCTTGGTGCATTAACCCGAGGCAAGGGAGTCAACGGACTATAAAAAGTCCAGTTTCCACCCTTGCCGAACTAGATTGGAATTTCTCTCCTATTGACCAATCAGATTCAACCTCTTGTATCACTTGTATTTGCTTCAAACAAAATGGCAGTGCCATGCCAAGACGATGTGATCAATAATCAACATCTATATTGTGATAAAATGGGTCTTACATCATAAAATGCATCAAATATCATGAGCACCTTGATTAAAAACATGAAAAGGTTTAGAAAATATCTGCTGACGCCGAGTTGGTGGTGCACATCCTTTGCAAATCCTGCAATCGACTGAAATCTGCATGACAGTTTACAAACCGGATTTCGATTTCGTTACCCGATTTTGATTGGACTATGCATAGATTCGTTGGAACAGCCAAAATGTAACTCCATAATACCAGCCTTGTTCAGCAAGGGTGGAAACTGGACTTTTGAAGTCAGTTAACTCCCTTGCCTCGGGAAGATGATCTTGGTGAGGGGGATGGACTTCACACACTGCTCCAAGTGGAAACTGAACCTTGGTCCATGATACTTAGCCAGCACTCCAGAAAACAGACCGAACGCTGAGGGCGTTATGTAAGGAGTTAGTGAGTTTGGTTTTCCTTGTATTCACGGCAGAGGACACAGACATAGGTTTCACACATGTGGGGAACTGAACCTGGGCTTTCGGTGTGTCAAGAATGTGCCTTACCCACTGGGCTACACCACTGCCCCTTTTAGTATTGAAGATCAAACCACTTGTCTGACCGCAAACCATAGCTGAACTGAAATGGGGCTTAACGTCACGTTCACGATTACTGCAATTCAACAGTGACGCGCATTCATGTATGGGTGTGGCCACTTGATCAAACCACCAAGCCAGATCCTCCATCCCACATACCATCAACCACTGATAAGCGGACTGTTGGTTTGGAAAGAATCAAATCTTACACATGGCCTATGACCCAGTGACAGTCACAAGATTAGCTGCACAATCTTCTTCTTAACGTGCCAACAAAGTAACAACAGAACACCAACGCCCTGGGTTTACAGAAATTAATGAGATGATGACAAAAAACAGACGGATCTACTGGTGGTATCAGCGTATTAACTTGGACAATAACAAGCTAGAATCTACTAATGCTTGAATAGCTTGTGCAATGTCCTATGGGTTTATTCAATTTTACTTTCATTTTCTACATTTCTTCAAAGGAAGTACTCACAAAAACCAGGTGTAATAAATCTCTCTAGCCACTAAAACCTAATCACATCTTAACGTCTTTGTTTTTTAGGAGTCTTCGCACAAAGGGAGACAAATCAAAATCTAAAATTTACAACATACCAATTCCAGGTTTAAAAATTTATTACAAGGGCAGATGCTAGAAATCTTGTTTCGAAGTAATGAGTCTTAGGCGGTGAAATTAAGATTGGTCTTGGATTGTTTCAAGTGGTGAATTCCACACAAAGGATGAACATAGCGAGTGCAAAGTGTCATCAAACCTCGTCTTTTAAGTGAAACCTAATGAAGTGGAAATAATTAGCACCACGGAGCAAATGGACTGCGACACTAGCCTTCCCTTGCTTCTAGTGATATTGCAGCTTTTTCTGTTTGACTGAACACATCAGACGTGTCTGGTACAATATGGCCGATTTGGTCAGCCCAAAGGATCAAGGGCGAATGTCGGCCATTTTGCTGTTCAGATAAGAAGCCTAAAGGAGCCTCTTCCAAATTCTTGAAACGAGCAGACGCAGTGGTAAAACAAACGAGTGTCGTCTGCTTGTCAGGCTGCGTCCACGTGAGTGGGCAATGAATATATGCCAGTATTATCTCCGGTCTTGTCCTCTCTCTCATTTCCTTTTTTGTCCATCATGACCGGCGCTGTGATACAAAATAGCTAGAGTTAATCAATGCCTCAACATTGAAAATTGTTTAATCGATCAGGAAAAGGTTATAAACTAGCCTCCACGCCAAGCCAGAAATTGCATCATCTGTGAAGAATTGATAATCCGTTGGACGATTTGGTTATCGCCGTGAAAAATGCAGCTGCGGTGAAATCAGGCGGAACGTCCCTCTGACAAGTGCATTCGATTGGTGGACTTCTGACATCCACCTTCAGATTTATGACAGATTTCATGTTTGCTAAAATAGCCAAACCAGGCAGTAGACACTCGACATTATTTGCTTTGACCCCTGCGCAAAACGACGGACTGCCAAATTGTAGGAAATTCAATCGTTTCTGCATTACTTAATCATTATCAAATGGAGCCGGTCTATTGAAAAGTAACGCTGAACTTCTAAAACGTAGGAAATCCAATCTTTTCTGCATAACTCATTAGAACGAACTGCGATCACTTTAGCCATTGTTTGTAAGCAAGCTTGACTAGAGGCAATGTAATTAGATTCCGACGACTGCCGCATTGGGGCAGAGGAGGTCAGCAGAATGCATGCAGCACTCTACCTAGCAACAATAGATGCATGTGCATCACTGCACATGCCTAGGTGTACCCACTCGATTATAGTCAAGCCTTGTGACCTCTGCCCGAGAGGACATCCAGGGACCTCATGTTGTAAGATCGAGAGCAGAGGGGCCAAAGATTGCCAATTCTTGGATCATTTTACAAAACATCAAACTCTGAATGGGGCGGTATGCCGACTTGGTTTTAGATGAATCGTCACAATGAAATGGAAATCGATTTCATTCTTATTTAAAAAGACAAATGGTGTATGACTACGGTTGTTGTGTCCAAAATACGCAGAGATTAATCCAATTACTGTTAAATTTTTTTGGCAAATAATATGATGAGAGCTGAAGGATTGTTTTCAATAGTTGGCAATACATCCAAGGGATTTAATCAGCATCGGAGAGCCAGCTCATACTAAATGCAGATAGCATGTGGGGTTTGGTATTAAGGTCACATTTTCAATTATGAAAACACAAAGACATATTGATTTTTTTTTCCTCTTTTCATTTTTGAAAGATTCATACTTGTTTGAAAACTGATTCTGTGATTTGGGTCAGTGTTTCTTTTACAACTGGTCACTCAGGAAGAAATGGTTTAATCCTCAATTTGAAATTCATCCCTACACAAAATACACCCATGGTTCCTGGTTTTGT